GCCCTACGATTGCACAAACTCTTTCATCTCTACCTCACACCATCTCCTTCATATTACCTACAGACATAAGTTGTTTCCCACTCGGGTGACATTCGATGGTCTGACGCGCTATGTCACTTCATGATCTCCTCAGCGTGTGTTCAATCCATCTTCACTTTCTTCTGCATACCTGTTGAGTGACAGGCTTTGTTGGTTCGTTCCTAAACTTTCTTACTGCTAATTCACTCTGGCCATCTAATCTTGATTATGGAATGAAGGCGGCTGTTGACGAGAGCCTGCAACTTGTTCAAAATGCATTCCATGACGTGACCACCATTTTTCTTACACATGAGGAAGAACTGACTGACTTAACATTGGTGATCGAAATACGAATCTCGTTCTTCATGCTGCTGAATGCAGAAGATTTCCAAATCGATTTCAAAATGATGAAGGTCTGTATTGACTTTCCAATTCTGGCTTTGACAACCTCACCCATGCTGATTGTTGCGGCTTAAATGATGCTTCACAGACAAGTGAAGAAGGTGATCATTTTCAAATTTCTTCCGTTGACAGTGTTGATGCTTGTTGTTTTTGTGGTTGGCTATCTTCATCTTTTCCACCTTCGCGGTCAAGGCAGTCATAGGCCTTTTCAAAGTCGATTTTGTTGAGGTAAAGATTCGACTATCATTCTACGCTCTGTTCGATGGTGATGCACAGAGTTACCGTACCATCATTACATGATTTGATTCTTCCGAAACCAGTTCGTTGTAGTCAGGGTTTTGCATCTAGTGTATCATTTGGTATCTCCAGGATAACGCGAATTAGTATATTACTTGTCTTGGACAGCAGCATGATTTCACGCCAGTTCTTGCAGATGCCTAACTCGCCCTTCGTTGGTAGTCTGAGAAGGTGGCCTTTCTTCCAATCAGTAAGTACCCTTCCTTCTTCTAAACCTATTACCATAGTGGTATGAGCATATCCGCTGCAGTGCTTGAGGAGGAATTCCGTCTGGTCCTGAAGCCTTCCCGGACATCAGTGGTCAGACTCCGCTCAAGATTTATGCATTTGTAGGAGGACTGATGGCAGTTGGTGGTTCTGTGAGTGCTGCAGGTGGTATTTCTGGACTAATTGCTGGTGATGGTCGGTTAACGAATCCTGTGAAGTGACCAGCCCATTGTATTTTGTCTCTTCTCCTTTAAAATTAGGTTCTGTTGGCCATGTTTTACTGGTTTCATCTGTTTGGTCACTCCCTGGATTGAGACATGGTTATCTGATATTATGTTCTGAGGTCTCTTTCACCTGCGGCCAGTCTGTTCTACTTCAGTCGCCAGTGTGTTTCAGAATTGTATTTTGTACTTCCGAGCACTCTTCTTCACTTCTCTATTCAGTGCGTTGTAGGTTGAACTCAACTTCTCCTACTGTTGTCTATCTCTACATTGGTTCACCTTCCGTTTTACCATCCACCTCTCTTCTACTTGATTCCAGGTGTCTGTAGTGAACCATTCCTCGTCTTGCCTCCTCTTTCCTCCTAAAACGGCTATACACGTTTCCTCGAACATCACTTTCAGAGAGTACTAATGTGATTCCACACAGGTTTCCTCACTGGTGCTACACAATGTCTCCGACTTTACTTAGATGGCTCCACTGAATGTGTCATTTGTAGTTTCTTCTTTCAGTTTCTCAGTGTTGAGCTTGAATTGTGGTCTGTCTCCAGTTGCTTTGAAGCCTATTACTTTGACTTTGAATGTTTCTTGTATTAGATGATGGTTTGAGGCTAAATACGCCTGCCCTCTCTCACTTCTTGCACAGCAGACTGTTTCTCCACTTTCTTGAAATTGAGATGAAGTTTATATTGTTTTTGTTTAGAAATATATTTGAGTAATAGTCTATTATGTGATTTTATAGCCTGATGAGACGTGACTGAAAATGAGTATTTGATTAAATTATGTCATATTATTATTATTATAATGGAAATATTTAATTCAATTTAGAAGCGTCCAAAATATTTTCTGACATAATCTTACTCAGCTGCTGAAAAGCGTGAAATCATGTCATTCAGACCATTGACCGCTTTCGCTTGAAGTCTTGTTTCACGTGAAAACTGACACGCTCGGTACAACTGAGCATGTTTTCCTCACTCACTCAGACTATACGCAGCATTGGCTACCGAGATCTCGAGTGAATACCTCTCAGTCACAATTATTTATGATCATTTGATGTAAGAAGTGTTTACCGATATACCCAGTGGTCTGATCAAAGCGCCTAGAAGGCAGATATTACATAAATGTTTCTACTCTGCTCAGAAAGATCAAATGGACTGCAAATAATTACACAACCAGGACCATTCTGTGGTCAATATCCAATGAATGATGGATTCATTTTCATCGAGTTGTGATGAGACGACGTGGTTTCAGGGGTTGCATTAGCCGACAGCTGCCTGAATGTCACAGTTGAACCTATTCTTCTGAAGAGGAAAGCTTCTTATAAGTATAACCTGAACAGCTTCTAATAGTAATACCAGTGAGAAGTTCATCGGAAATTATTTTATCACCGAATAACTGATATACTCAGGACTGACTCCCTGTTTATTGATTTATTGTCAGATGAATACCTCAGAGTTGAACTTTAGCCGGGGCCCCCATAATGATATACTGGGCTGGAGTTCAGAAAATCCGTTTTTCCACCTAATGATTAAAAGGGCATAACTGTGTTCAATTGAATAAAAGGATATCATTTTATGCCAGAAGTACGCTCATACACAATACTCGAATTCTATTAGCATATCAGTGGAAGAATTACTTGGAAAGCAACCCCTAGAACTGTTAGATGGTGAGGGCATTCACAAAAACTCAGATGCAAAATGTTGTTTACAGTCTGCTGGAGTTTGATCAGAACCGATGATTTGTGAAGTGTCACGAATAGAGGACGTGACAGCATAACACACGTAAAAACAAAATAAGACCACGTAAAATGTGTGAAAATGACTGCAGAAGTTATCAACAGAGGTGTCAGGCATTGATGGCGTCAGAACAACAACAACTGAAACTGAATGCAAAAGTGTGATTTCAAAAAAACTGGAATAAGATGAAATCATTTTGCGTCGGTGGCATAGAGGTTAGGATGCTCGTCGACCATGCACATGGTCCGGGGTTCGATCCCCGGCCACTAGACGCACTCCTTTACCTCTTTAAGCCAGAAATAATGCTGGTGAAGAGGAAAGGTTGGGCATACTACACCTATTAATTCTGCAGTAATTACGTGGTTTCACTGCTTCTGCAGTTGACACGACTTCATGATTCATGCAACTTTGACACTTTTCATTCCTAACCATTATATTCATATAACACCAACTGGAGGCACTCGGACTAATGTCTGACTGAACATTTCAAATCGTGGAAAATACCCATTGGAACATTAGATTTAGAAGAATAAGAAGTTCAGCAAAGATATCTTTTCGGCGATTTCATTTTCAAAAGCTGTACAATCGCATTTAAATACATAATTTTACATGGAGACAATTCTTGTTTGATTCTACATAATTATGGCGGCGAATAAAAGGTGATAATTATTTCCAACTAGATATGGTTTTACGAGAGGCTTAGAAACAAAATTATGCAGGATCAGAACGGATATCAAGCCCAACCTCTACAACTACCATGGACTTAGTTCGGTATGTTACCGTAGCTTCCGTTTTTGTATTTTGTTTTTGTTTTTTTGTTTTTTGATCCCTTTTCGTCCGCTATGTGTGTGATTCCTACCCCTCAGTCTTCATTCGATTCACATCATTTTTTTTCCAGTTATAAAAAACAGTTATTTTAAGTTTGTTGCCATGCTTTTCCTGTTCACATTTATAGTCCGTTCTAAAAATTTACAATTATATCTTAATCCTGTGCAATTTTTTGTGTTTCTAAGGCTCTTGTAATCTATATTCACACCTCCTAACTCCCATCTCAAGTTGAAAATTATTATTCCAATTTTGTTTCCATACTCATTTCTACACACTTGATATCCTTTCTGATCCTGCTATTTGTTTACTCTAAATATCTAGTTGAAATAATTATCACCTTTTATTCGCCGCCATAATTATGTAGAATCAAACAAGAATTGTCTCCATGTAAAATTATGTATTTAAATGCGATTGTACAGCTTTTGAAAATGAAATCGCCGAAAAGATATCTTTGCTGAACTTTTATATGACTGAACATTTGTCAGTGTATCAGTTTCTAACTATAACAATAATATGGTCAATTTTCACTTAATCTCGATTACTCGTTGTACTGTGCTTGCAACTGGACAAAAACATGAGGGTAAAATCAAGAATGGAATCATTCAGAGCATATCCAGTTATCGCATGGCACAGTCACAGCTAATCTAGTGAAACTTCTCGGCCTAAATGTCTTGAGCAAATATACATTTGAATCTTTAAAGCTATCAGAATGCAAATTCCAACATATGTGTGGTTTATCGAAAACACATAAATCCAGTTATCCTATACGTCCTATATCGTCCTATATCAATGGGATATTCTTGTAACTACTCTTTCATTATGCTTTTAAAAGAGGTGAGAAACAACAGAAGTGACTGAGTTAAACATGCTTGACACAATACTAGTGAACACATTTTAGGTGAACAGGGTTTGTGTAGATTCTGTGCAGGAAAACGCTGTTTCTGTCTATTAGTGATTCGAGGGGAATCAAGTGTCGAAGGCGATGGATGTATTTATGTGGCGAAACTACATGCAATCTATTGACTGAACAAATTTTGAGTGCATTTCACAATGATAATGAGGACATTGGCATATAACTGTCAAACTCTTAGTTATAAAAGGCACATTTCTCGTCAATCGAAATTTATTTATAGCAAAAGCCTGTATTGTTTAATGACATTACATAACGAATTCACTGAAATGAAAAGACACAATATGAAATCTATAGATTCTGATATTTAGTTCACAAGTGTTGTATTACACGGCTACTTGCAACTGTGATTTGGCTCTAATATTCGATTCCTTCACTGCGTTGTTATGCCTTTTCATAAGGTTTTCCTTCTTCAGCTCTGAAAGAAATGAATATATAAAAGGGCATCACAATGTTGTTTTAAAGTGCATATTTAGCAATGTTGAAAAATTTCGAAAGTGGAGAGATTGCATTTCTGTTAAAGCACAGAAGTTAACTGGAAAGTCGAATCCACAACCATCTTCGTGAAACACTATTACTGACTTCCAGAATTCACACCTGTATATTGTCTAGTTGATAGTGGCTAGCAATGCAATCCAAGATACGCCTCCCCTCTCAGTTGATATCCGTCAGCCATGTGTACCCACATGGTCATTTGTGGATTTGCAGCTCAAAGAGTTGTTAAAAGCGACTGAGCATTTCGATGTCATTAAAATTGATCGATAGAATATACTGAATAATTTCAGCAGAAATTAACTGATACCTGTTGCTCAAGATGTGGCTCATGCTTTGCAGTGTTACCTAGTAGTTGACGCAGAGAATTTTAAATTTATGTGTTTGGGTCCCAGTTTCATTGAGAATACCATGATTTGCTTACATGCAGCTGAATACTCACAAAATGCGTGTGACCTGAGTCCTGAATTGCACTGCTAGACACTATCATCTAACAAACAATGTCATATTAACCTTCATACATCATCGACCCATCCCGACGAGAAGCCGGCATGCTAACAGTGTCCGATCACTTTGTTCGAATATAAATCAATCTGCCGGAAATGCATGACAACTTCAAGGACTATTTCCACTTTGAGTGACACCGACTTCTCGTGTAAGGAGATATCTGAAGCCTAAATATGAGTAGTCAAAGGCGTTCAGTTAATGTGCATTTATTCACTGGGTCTTATCACTAATTATTTGGCCTCTTTCACGGTCTTCTGTACATAAAATTTACAAACATATTGTATTGCAATGCAGCTTAGATGCTATAGACAGTTAAAGAGTGGAGTTTGATCATTCTGAGGTAAAACTCTAGCATTGCAGAACATAAACCAACATATTTGTATCAAATAAGCTTCCACTGAAGAATAGGCAATCAAGTCTACGTCAACTATTTTACAAGACTTCTATCATTGGATGACTTGTATCGATCTTAAGTTGTCACCAATTTATCCCGTTTCCCTCGATAACTACTAGTGCTCGTTATTTGGCGAGAGTACCGATTTGATTCAGTTTCTATTCACTGTTACTCTGTTATGCGAAAATTGCCTTCATGAAGGCTGTAACTCACCCTGGTGCATAGTTGCATACAACCGTCGCTTTCTTCCCACATAGTTTATAACCACAGCCGATTTCCTTCGTGGCAGCCCAAACGATCTGTATAGATTTGAAATTTTTATGTATATGATATGAAATACAAATGATGTGAAGTTTACATTTTAGCACGTAAATGGATTTGAAGAGGTGTTGTTTCAAGTGACCTAATGATATTCGTTTTATGACTTCCATCTACAGATTTTGACAGACGTTTTATACAGAAAACTGATAAATATGGTGTTTGTTGTGAATTGACAGAAGTTCTGGTTCATGAGCTGTAGGACTGACTTGCACTGGCTGACTGTGCAGCGGACATCACTTGTAACCTGAATGTCCTTAGTTCCATCACCTGTGGGTTTATCAATACTTACTGCTGATGAGTACACAACTAGAAGGAAATAGCTCTCCAACACGCCACGGTTCCCTATAGCTGGCTGATTGGTGTCATTTTGTGATGAGTGTCTATCTATTCTGACAGTACTGTGAAGCGTGTATCTGGGTTTCGTGCAAAGCAATAGAGGTTAATCATTGTACGGATTCTAGTTGTTTGAGTGTGTATTGCGAACTTCCTGACTTCTGAGAACCTCTGTGATTGTGAACACGGGATTCAGTAACAGCTTATTATAAGCTTTGGCTGCTTGGACCTCCTTAGGCGGATAACTGTCCAACTTACCGGAATAATTGGTGTATTTGTGACAAGTTCAGCAGGAGTTTTTCATTTCATTAACTCACTGAAATATATGTTGGTGGCATAGCGGTTAGGACGCTCGCCGACCATGCACATGGTCCGGGGTTCGATCCCCGGCCGACGCACTCCTCTACCTCGCTAAGCCAGTAATAAAACTGGTAAGGAGGGTAGGTTGGGCATGAGGCCAGCAACCCCATCCCGTAAAAAAAAGCTCTGCTACAGAAACTTTAAGGCACTAGCTTGAAGCCCTATGTTCCACTTGGGAACGGGAAGGAATAAAAAACACTCACTGAAATAAACTATAACTCATACTCTCTTAATGTGCAGATGAGGCTAATCGCGGACACAACAAGTTCAATAGGTTACTTGCTTCAATCTTCTTGTTAGTGATTACAGTAGAGATTGTGTGTCGTGTCGTGGAAAAAGTGAAATATACCTGCTTGTAACTGCCACATTCTGAAGAGCATTCATTTTGATCAAACTTGTATTCTTTGTGTTCATTATACCAGGTATCTAATATTCTAAAACATACATATTGTGTGTGTGTTAGAACAGATGAAATTGCACATACTTTTGGACTGATTCGTGTTCTGCTACAGTTTGACCCACTTTGTCATATTTGCCAATGATTACCTCATCAAGATTGCTCTTTTCAAGGACACATTTATCAACGTGTTGTTGAGCTAAATCTGCCAACTTGTCATTCCATGTCTACATAGAATAGAAGAAAACAGAATAAAAACAGGTTCGCTATTCCAAAAAGCACGAATCAACAGTAATTTCATGACCATCCTATGATCTGCATCGATGAGGGTGATCAGAGACACAAAGTCCAACATTCACTATTCCCTTGATACTCAATAAAATTGCATAGGTATATGAGTGTGCGAGCGCAATAAGTAATTATCAGACTACGATTTAGGGACTTGATTCGGTATGTTTCGCGATAGCCTGGTCTAGCGAAATTTGATATTTCATCGAGACTTTAAGTTAGTCACATGATGAGGACTCGCATCTTCACTTTCAAATCAACTCTGCCGTCACTTAGTTTTGTACACTAGGGGATTTGTAGAATCTTCGTGTGAAAGAAGAACTACATGCTCAAATAGCTCTATCTCTACGAAAGGAGAACGACCCGGTTGCAACTCTGGAGGATAAAATGAGTGTATGAACAGCCACTGACATGTTCATACTATTGGTGCGTCAGTTTGAAATGTCATTTGGTGAATATTCTGACTTACCAACTCAGGCATCTCTTTCGCTTTAGGTTGATTGGGTATTTCACCACTGAGAGCAGAACGTCTCACTTTGTTGTGAAATTCGAAAACCGCATTCAATTCATCAGTGTCCTGTGCACTGGTGAACAGTGCAGTCAGTTGAAGTATTAAGCATGATATCAAGATGGCCTTTTGCATGTTTATGCGTTGCTTCGCTTCGCTTTGCTTTACTTTACTTTGTTCTGATTGATCTCTGAGTACACGCTTCACATTTTAGCTTATATACTGAATCATTCACCTGAGAAATCCATTTCACAACACCTTTCCAATTGCTCCCAATGTCATATCGACAGGCATAGAAATATGATCTATCAACTAATGACAGTCAAAATATGGAAAAGCAGTCTTCAGTATAGTGTGGAATGACAGATATCCCAGTTAATCAACTTGAGTTGCCAATGTGTGATAAAATCAATGACGAATTAGATTTTCCGTAAGTTCACATATTCCTCTTCCAATCATTCATTTCACTCACAACTACCTCAATGTACAATTTATTTGAAGGAATCTACAATAAACACAGTTGTCAATCAGTGCAATGTATGTAATCTATGAAACGGGCAACTCAGTTCCTTTGGAAAGGAAAAATATTTAACTGGATAGTAATGAAATTATAGAATCGTTTGATTTTATGGATTTATACAGCTTGGATTGGTTGAATTTTGACTCTGTTCGACTCTGTACCTAGATGTCTCCTGCTAAATAAGCTCTCTTTGACAAAAACTGAGTCCTGGGTCACTAACTGGCTTCATTCCTACTTCTCTAACAGAATGAAGTACACCGTATACAAAGGTAAATCCTCCTCTGCTGTACTCACTGAAGCTGGTGTCCCCCAAGGCGCTGTACTCTCTCCACTTCTCTTTTCTTTCTTTCTACATGACTTACCATCTTCAAATGACATTAATTTTGTTAAATATACTGACGATCTGACTGTATCTTTGCCTGTCAAGTGTCAAAGTGACTGCTCCAAACTAAATGGCTTTTTATCAGAAATCAGCCAGTGGTCCAAGGAAAACGGTCTTACCTTAAATCCCTCCAAATGCCAAACAGTCAATTTCACCTTTAGGCATAAATCTGACCTAAACAAACTGGTTAGCTCTCACGAGGTATGCAACATAGATGGCACTGAAATAGAAACCAAGTCGGAAATTAAATATCTTGGCGTCATTCTATCTGCTGATCTCTCCTGGTCGTCTCATATCTTGATGATTTCTAAGAAAATATTCCGTCTTACCTTCTACATCAAGAAGTTAAGACATTCTGGTATAACCCAACCCTTACTCCTACAATTCGTTAATTCTCGCATTCTGCCTATTATTCTCTATTGTTCCCCCTTAGTTTTTCCAGGGCTACTGAAGAAAGACTGTAACATATTACGCAGGATGTTAAAGGTTGTCAGCAGGGTAAGCGACGTGCCACTTAACCAGCTTGTTAATATTTTGGTCGACAGGCACATGGACTCATGTGAAAAATGGGCCAAATCCATTTTATCTAACTCACACCACCCTCTTCACTCACAACTCTCCCCTTGCATCTCATCAGGCAAAACCAGAAGCCTATATAAAAAACTATATGCTCGCACCAGCAATTACAAAAACTCAACCATACCCTACTTAGCTTGTGTTCTGTGCGATAAAGAAAGCATTAGTCGTGACACCTATAATTCATTAAATAATCAGTAGTACAACTGGATCTCGTCTTTCCAACTCACATCATTTATAGGTACAACATTTTCTTTCTTTCTGTTCCTTTTCTCTCTCTCTTTTTTCCGTTATGTGCTGCTTTCTTTCTCTCGCTTACGCCAGTAAATATGACAGCTCCCACTTTTCTAACACCTTCAAACACTGTTTCAGCTTTCCTTTGCTACCGATATGCCAATGTGTTGTTGTAATAATGAACTGTGATTTCCTTAATCTATGTAGAATTCTATTTATCGATAATGTACTAACTGGATGCAATACTGTAGTAAAAATGGTGAGAATTCCATTCTGTATCACAAGTACTGTTTTGGAATAAAGCAAATTATTATTATTATTATAAACATCACAATGCCATATCTGTTTATCAGCGATGAGTGCATCTGAAAATTGAAATAATTTACTTTGTTGAATTCGGATGGAGCTGATAATGTGGCAGTATATGAATATATACATAATAAGTTACCAATGAATCGTCTATATGAAGACTAGCAGCTGAAGATTTATGCAAGGATTAGTGGTCATTGCTCTACGAGTCCACCACTTCAGAAACCTGTAGACACTGTGTGAGTGACACAGCCGATATTTTCATGGTTTTGTTTTCGAACAGACTCGACTGATTGATGCTATCAATGAAATAACATACTTTCGCCGATATGTCGATGATACGTTTGTTGTTTGTAACGACATGAGTCAGGTATTCGCATTATTTGACCGCCTTAATCAAATCCATGCAAACATTAATTTCACCATGGAATGTGAACACGACAACGACTTCAATTTCCTTGACCTCAGTGGAAATGGAAGAAAAGATGGAATGGTCGAAAAATCCAGCTACAGAAAAGAAACATGGACGGGACAATATCTTCACTTCAACAGATTTTGCCCTATAAGCTATAGACGGGGATAATTAAGGACACTGCACGACAGACCGAGGAAGTTATACTTGCCTAACAAGGTAGAAGAAGAATTAAGCTTTGTTGGAAAATGCCTAAAGGAAAATGGGTACTCAGAGGGATTTATCCTAAAGTAGAACAAAGAAAATGACAAGAAAGCGAAGTATCCAACAGTTGAAAAGAAGGAGGTGTTCATTTGTCTCCCATTTAAAGGCGAAACAGTATCGCAAAAGATTGACAAGAGGATGAAAGGAGCAATAAAATGATGCTTCCCTGCAGCTAAGCTGGTGACGCTAAACAGTAATACACTCTCTATAAGCCAATCGAAACTGAATAAGTATCCTGCTGATGTTACCTGCAACTGCATTTATAAATTTACGTGCACCCGCAGCGGCAAGTACGTTGGAAGGACAGAAAGAAGGCATTCTATCCGGTTTTCAGAGTATATTCCAAGAAACTTATGCTTAAAAGGAAGCAGATATTTGCAAAGTGAAATTGCCAGACACCTTGTGGATACGGGTCATTTCATCGAGTTTTCCAAATCCATTAGAATATTAAACATACAATGGACAGAGAAGTTACTACGATTTGCTGAAGCAATTGCAATCAAGCGTTTCAGACCGAAAGTGTGCACACAGAAAGCGAGTGTAGTTAGTCTCTCACTCTCTTGGTAACCGTATTACTTTGATTACACTGATTAGTTATACACATTAGTGAGCTCGGATCACTGAGCAAGTTTCCAGTTTGATGAACTTTAATCTTCTTGAGTTGCTATGTAGACGTACAAGCTAACACTGCTTATTAGATTTTTCCATTTTCTGTCTTCTCTCACGCCCCCCCCCGCTTTTTCATCATAGTTTCAAAGCATATAATTTGATGCTTACTTAAACTAACAATTGTAATGCCACTATTCTGGATGCGTTCATTTTATAAGGTTTTGTCTATTACCTCACAAACATTGAAGTATTATTATTATTGTTCCCTTGGGTTCCTAGTGGAACATAGGGCTTCAACTGCACGTCTCCACTTGCTTCTGTCTTCTGCTGTACTTTTCACCTGCATCCATGTTAGTCCATACTGTTTCAACTCCTCTTCACACGATCTCCTCCATGTCACCCTTGGACGTCCCACTCGCCGCTTCCCTTTCGGGTTCCACTCGAGCACTGGCCTGACGCGCGATGTCACCCAGCGGCCTCCTCAGCGAGTGTCCAATCCATCTCCACTTTCTCCTGCATATTTGTTGGGCGATTGGTTCTTGTTTTGTTTGTTCCCATAGTTTCTTGTTGGTGATTCTTTCCGGCCATCTGATCTTGAGTATAGAGCGAAGACAGTTGTTGATAAAGGTCTGCAACAGGCTGTTGGAAATATTCTTTGTGACCCACCAAGTTTCTGATCCATCCGTATAGAAGAACTGACTGACTTGACGTTTGTATTGAAAATCCGAATTTTGTTGTTGATGCAGGCTGAGTGACGAAGATTTCCAGATTGATTTCAGGTTGATGAATGTGTTTCTCGCCTTCCCGATTCTCGATTTGACATCCTCGTCCGTTCCTCCTGTAGTTGAAACAATGCTCCCTAGATAAGTGAATGAAGTAACCTCTTTCAAATCCCTCCCGTTGATGGTGATTGGCGCTGGATGTTGCTGCTGTTGTTGTTGTTGTTGGTTGGTTATTTTCATAACCTCCGTCTTGTCTATGTTCACCTGGAGTCCTGTCTTCACCAGCTGCTTCTTCGACCAGTTTGTCGGTTTTCGCTTGTAAGTCTTCGATTTTGTGTGACATCAAACATAAATCATCCGCGAAATCCAGGTCTTCTAGGTTCTTCACGTCGGTCCAGGATAT